TTAAATTATTGTGGCTAAAAAAAAAACAAAAACAAAAAAAAACATTATATAGTCGCGGCTAAAAAAAAAAAAAAAAGGAAAATTTGGTTTAAAATCCGGATCAGTCCGGCAATAAATGTGAAGAAATAGTATGGAAGTTTAAATAAGAACCGTGGAATAAATCAATTAATTGAATTTATTATTCCCAAAATCACAAGCTTAACTGAATCTGCCGATAATCGTTTGGACAATTTTTATCAGGTGTCGTAGGAATAGAAATGTAAACAAACCTGAATGGGACAATTACGATGTTCTACCTAATTTGGGTTTGGTGGTCGACCATTGTTGTAATTCCAAACCCAATACTGGTATCCATTTATTCTTGCATATCTCAAATCTCCAGGATAGTTTACCGACAATTAGCCGACAACCGCTTCCCCGACAACTATTTTCCCGACAACTATTTCCATTACAACCATTTCCTCGGCATGACCATTTTCCAAACAATCACGTCATGTTGGAAAATGGTAATGTCGGAGAAATGGTTGTCAAAGTGGTTTTTGCGTAAATATCGGTAAACCTTCAAGGACCAATCATCTCTACGAAATAAATATGAAACAAATGTGACGCATGTGAAAGTGCAGGGGAATTATTTCACAATTGTAGAAATAATCATTAAACAATAACAATTTATTTGCCTTATTATTCGCGCTCTAACCAGGATCTATTAATTTGGGTTAAACCCAGTTACGACTCTTTTTGTCGAATCTAGTAAAAACCTTTGGGAATCTACTAACTATCGGGTTTGGTTTACATCGCTACCCAGGAATTATGATAATAGGTGTGATACTGAAACGGTTATAGTATTTTAAATCCGGCTGCAAGCTCAGACAATCTGGATTTTAAAGTTTAACTTCGGTACTATTTCGAGTATGCTATGAAGTATTGTATTTTTATTGTGAATTAATTTAATCGAATTTCACGTGAACAAGGAAATATTTTGGCCAATCAGAGTTCTTCTCGATCATCATATCATATTACATCATGCAACCCGATTATAATTCGCTTTAAATTCGACCCGTTTTAACTTAAATAATAACCGGTTTTATATTACACGCAAATCCAATTCAGTCTTAAAATTTACAACCAGTTCCGACCTCTAGTTACAAAGACTATAATTTATGGTTTTAATAATTTACAATTTACAATAACTACGTTTTACTTATATATTGTATTTTTTGTAATTTAGGCACCATACGATTATTATAAATATTCAAAGAAGTTAGGGTTTTTTATTGTAAAGTGCGTTTTCTACCGCTCATTACAATCAAGATTCAGAGTAGTCAGTTTGGTATTTTTGCCAAGTGTGTTTGCTAACACTTTTCTTCCTTCTGATCCAAGTTCATTACGTCCAAGATTCAAAGAAGTCAGTGTGGTATTTTCGACAAGTGCATATGTTAACGCTTTTCCGACATCTGGTCCAAGATTATTGTATCGAAGATCCAAAGAAGCCAGCGTGGTATTGTTGCGAAATGCATTAGCTAATGCTTTTCCTCCTTTTGATCCAAGATTATTCCAACCAAGACCCAAATAAGTCAGCGTAGTGTTCTCGCGAAGTGCATCAGCTAATTCTTTTCCTCCTTCTGATCCAAAATTATTATTATAAAGCTCCAAAGAAGTCAGCGTCTTGTTCTTGCGAAGTGCATCTGCTAACGCTTTCCCTCCTTCTGATCCAAGATTATTCCAACCAAGATCCAAAGAAGTCAGCGTCTTGTTCTTGCGAAGTGCATCTGCTAACGCTTTCCCTCCTTCTGATCCAAGATTATTCCAACCAAGATCCAAAGAAGTCAGCGTCGTGTTCTCGCAAAGTGCAGCTGCTAATACTTTTCCTCCTTCTGGTCCAAGATTATTCTTACCAAGATCCAAAGAGATCAGCGTGGTATTTTTGCGAAGTGCATCTGCTAATTCCTCTCCTCCTTTTGATCCAAGATTATTATTATAAAGGATCAAATCTTTCGGCATGGTTTTATTGCGAAGTACCTTTGTTAACTCTTCTAATTTTTCCAATACACATTTATTATCGGAAAGATCCCAAGTTGAAGCAATTTTCTGATCTTCGGGGCTACGCTGGCTGTCTTTGAGAATTTCTTCAAAAAATCTCAATGCACCGGAAAAGTTTCCTTGCTTGAAACACTTGCGTGCATTCTCTCTCAACTTCTTAAGATCACTATTGTAACTTTCACTATGATCCAGTGACTTATCTTTAATTGCACTTGATATTTTTTTGCGTTAATAATTCTCTAGTGCATATATTAGAAACTTAAAAAATTCTGATACAAAACTTACTTACTATTTCGGATATATGCAGTAAGTTATTAAGGATATGTTAGTTTGTGTTGGATTTTATGTCATGGTTTACTCTAAAGGTAAAAAAAAAAAAAAAAAACTGACTTGCAAAGTTCTTGCTGCTTTGTGGATTCTTCAAATTTTATCATCTCATCTTTTTCTCCGAATTGTTTTATTATTGCTTCTTTTTCTTTTTTATATTTTCTCGGCATTGCTTCTTTTTCATCTTTAAATTTTTTGGTCATTGTTTCTTTTCCTTCTTCGAATTTGTTTGTCATTGCTTCCTTTTCTTCAAATTTTTTTGCTATTGCTTCTTTT